TTTTTTTGCCATGATATTTTTTACATGAAATTACGTAATCAGTTTTGCAAAATATCACAGAAAAAACTTCACATGGTAATATTAACTATCCAATAATGTACACTTATCCGGCATCCTACTATGATCGGGCTCACCAAATAGCTCGGGTTATTTGGTATATGATACATTTAAGATAGTTTCCACGGTCTGTTTTGACTGGGTAACTTTTTTTTATGATCTTTACTTAAATTCATATTATATATATATTTTTTTTGTGATCTTTACTTAAATTCATATTATAATAATAACTTAATAAAGGTTAAACCAAATGTGATATGCTAATTCTGAATATGATAGTTGGTTTTTATTCTGGGAGTTAAAACATGATAGTGCTAAATATGATAGAAAATTCACTTTTGAAGAACCTTTTAACGAAATGATGCAAAGATAGATACTTTAATGCTGTTAAAATTATATGTTTAGTAAAGCTTTGTTTTCGATTATTGTTGATTGTTAATTGTTCTTAAGAATTACTTGAAAATTTATCATGTTCGTTTAGAACTTGTTTATACAATTTAAATACTCGTTTGTAATAAATTCAACATCATAATTGTAATCAACACTAGGCTGTCGAGCTTTAAAATTCTAAATTGCTTCGCTGTTGCTTTTTGAGTATTTGTAGAAATCGTACTATTGATAATTTCATTTATTTTGTTACTTGTTGGCTTGCGATATTTAGTTTATTAATAATTGTCGCGAATCATAATTTAAAATGAAATCTACATTTTCTACTCAACCTGTTAACCTTCTAAAACCTACTTATACTTGTTTATTATAACTTTACTTTAAAACTAACCCCTAACCCTAGCCCCTATACCTAAAAAATGCACCCCAAAAAATTTTATTTTTCGAGATTTTATATTATAATTTCATTTTGATCTGGATTTCATTATGATCCACCACAATAATTTGTTATTTTTTTTATAACAGAAAATGGGTTTGTTTATTGTAAGTGAAAAAACAGTCAAAGTGAAAGAAAAAAAAAGCCAAGTATAAAAATAAAAAATTTTAATTTATTGTTTACATTAATTTGAGCTTAATTTTTGTAGGGAGTGGTCCTGATCGTTGTAGGATGCCAGATAATACTGTTATTGAATACTTCGCACCAATAATTAACGTATTTTGTGTAAAATTTGACCAGTCGATGGCTGGGCCCCCGTGGGGCCCAGCTATCTCCTGATTGAATTCTATGCAAAATACTTCACGTTATTTGTCATGTGTAATAATAAAATTGTGATCACACAGATCACAATGCAATTGTTATAGCATGCCAAATAACTATATATCTCCAAGGCTTGATGATTTAAATAATATTGATATGAACTCGTCAATTTATAATCATGATTTATTTATTGATTGGGCTGATTTCTTTAGTAATCAAAATACTTATCTGAGTTCTGACTTATCAATAACATCTAGTAGTGATAGTTCACAGAGTTCAAATAATTTTGATTTTCCAATTCAAGCAGATCAACAATTCAATGATGATATCATAAATAACCTTTAATTCATCAATGAAGACCAGTTTTCTATAAATAATAGTCAATACAAACTCAGAATTTTTGATTTCTCTAACATTAACATTAATGAAATTTCTAACATAAATTCACATAATCTACATGAAATCTTTGACAGTCAAAACAATTGCATTTTAGATAACTTGGTCAATTATAATGACCAATTATTTTTTTTTACCTAATTTATTAAATACAATAATAAATCATGATAATTTAAACGATGCATTAATCGCTTATGAGATGGGTTTTAATTATCTTATTTAAAAATTTCTATTTTAGAATACTTTAATTTTAATGTATATGTTGATTAAGCTTTATGAATATTATTTTTATTATATTTATGCATCTATGTTATTATATTTTCTATAAAATATGTACTATATTAATTCTAATTTCTATGCAACATTTATGATAAAATTAAGATATAAAATAAGCATTATTTAAGTATTATTTGAAAACCAATTTTAAATATATATATATAAATTTAACAAAATTATTAATTTTGTATTTTGATTTATTTAACTTATAAATATAAAAAAAATTATTAATTATTTAAATTAAAAGCAGCAAAGCAAGTTTACAAATCAAAAATATAAATACTTATTTATCATTACTTATTTATATTAAGTTAGTTAATAAGTATAAAGAATATTTATTAATTATCAAAGTTAAAACAGCAAATTAAGTTTATAAATCAAAAATATAAATATTTATTTACTATTAAATTAAATCTTTCAAATTATTTTATTTATATTAGTTAGTTAGTAAATACAAAAATTATTTAAATCTAATATAAGTTTAAAATTATATAGTAAATAAAATAAAATATTATATATATATTATATTATAAGCATCTTTAAATACAAAAAAATACATATTATAATAAAATAAATATATTACTAGTATAGTGTTTATTATATATCTTTAATATAATAATAAGATAAACAAGTAAAAATAAAAAATTAATAACTGTATAAAAATTTTAATATATAATATAGCAACTTTTAGTAAATTATCTAATATTAAAAAATTAGTAAAAAAGAATTCAGCTCTATAAATTTATCAATTTAGTTAAATAATATACAAAAAATTAAAAAATTAAAATTAATAATAGAAATAATAATATATATAAATTTTTTTTTTTTTAAATGTTAAGGTGACCACTTGGGGTCTGGCATGTTTTATTTGCAGTCTGGATTAAGCTTCGGCTAGGTCGGATAGACCTTACCTGATTTTGTTACACTAACGAGAGTACAATTGGTCACATATACAACTTTAGTCATTGTCTATTTAAGGGTTCTGCTATATCTATTTCTATCTATAGTTATCTACCAATTGCTATATCTAAGATCCGCTTGTAGATCCCCTATTTAAACCCTCTGATCAGCTTCATGCTGTTGTGTCATTTTCACTACTGCCTAACTGCCGCTAAGGCCTCTTAGGACTAGTTTATTCTTGTGATAAACCTGCTAAAGTTTTCATACCCACAATCTGGCTAACCTAGTCTTCGGTAACTTATGCCATTATCTGAGGACACATACTTGCAAGCCAAGGCCGCTACTATTATCGTTGCCCTTACAAAGTTCACACAAACCCTGGTACATACTTTACAGACAATCACCAGTTTTAATCACAATAATTTCAAACTACCAATCCAGATAGCCCAGAAGGGCTGTGACCTGCTCTGGTCCCACAGTTGGGTTCTTTTCTTCTGGTTACTCCTCTGGCGGCCTAGTTGGTGGAGTGCCTTTTTAAGCACTTCAGTCCCATTCAGTTTTGCTAGTTTTCCTGATGATGATCCTTTAGTAGTACTGTCGAAGATTTGTATTACCTCTCTACTCGGGTCTTGCCAAGCGTGTTCTATTGTCCTTCCCGGTTTCTAGATTTACAATGATCCAAAAGCTTATTTATGTAACTTGTGTATCACACAAATGCCCTATGATCTTCTAATCCTGTTGGTGTCACCAGGGTTACAAAGATCTTATTTCAACCTACAACAGACAGCAGTAATATCGTACAGATAGAATATTTTGAAATTCGTCGCCAGTGGGTTTCGAACCCCCTACCTAGCCAACAAGTCACTTGGGGGTGTGACAATTTAACCACTTCACTAAGTCACCACACCCTTAATATATATAAATATATAAAATAGAAATAATAATAGTAAATCAAATTTAGATAAGCTATAGCTACTCTGTTAATTTAGACTGCAGATAAATTAGTTTGAGTTTTTTTTTTTTTGCCATCTTAGGATATAAAGTTTAAATAGATTCTTTTCTTTGTAAAAGAGATCTATATTCTTTTTTTTATAAAAAAGTTATATATTCTTTTAACTATAGAAGAATTAAATTAAATTTTAATTAAGTCAGAGATATGTCTTATTATTAATATTCAAAAAAAATAATAAAGATAATAATAACTATTTCTATAAAAGATTAATAAACTATTTAATATTATTATACTTAAAATCTTAATAAATTTTTTTAAAAAAATAAATTAAATTTACTTATTTAATAATTTGTTAAAAATAGACCAATTTATTTTATTATTTGATTTTAAGTTTGAGAATTATATTATATATAGTTGATATAATAGTAAATTTAAAATATACAAATTAACTCAAAATAATAAAATAAATATTTAATAAAATTTTAATATATTGATAATAAAAGTTTTTACAAGTTTTAAAAAATTTTTCATAATTTTAACTAGCAAATTAAAACTACTTTTTAATATTTTTTAATATTTATTAAGTAGAATATATTTATACAGATTTTTATAACAGCAATATTTTACAAAATAAAAATTTTAACACAACTTTGCAATCTTATATCTTAAATTTATAATTATTCAAAAAACAAAAATAATTCAAAAAATAATATTAATAAAATTATATCTTATATATAGAACTAAAAATTTTATTAGATAAAAAATTTATAAAAAATGCTAATATTTATTGCTTTAAAGTTATTATATTGGAAATATCAACTAGACAAGAATCTTTTAATAGTTATTTATTTAATAATAAATATATTGTGAAGATTGGTAATAAATTATTCCTTAAACCATCTGGCGGGCAAATTTGCCTGCTTAAATTTTTTTTAACATGTTTTTAAAATTACTCGAAATTTTATTAAAGATAAGTCCTCCTATTACTAAGCTAAAATAAAAATTTGACATATTGTTAATTAATATTTATTAAAATTTTAATTATATATATATACA